CACACAAGCCCCGCTGCTGGTTTCGCTACGTGGACAACACCTTCGTCATCTGGTCACAAGGTCCCGACAAGCTCCAGGACTTCCTGAACCACATAAATAGTATCAACCAGTGCATCCAGTTCACAATGGAAACTGAAACTGAAGGCCACCTCCCCTTCCTGGATATAGATATTTACAGGAGACCCGACGGTTCCCTGGGCCATAGAGTGTACTGCAAATCCACCCATACAAACCTGTACCTTAACGCTGCGTCCCACCACCACCCTTCCAACAAGCAAGCTGCACTTTCAACATTGGTGCACAGGGCTAGAGCACTGTGTGATCAAGACAGCCTACATGCAGAGTTGGTGCTCCTGAAGGATGTATTCAAGAAGAACGGATACAACAACCGGCAGATCTATAGAGTTCTCAACCGTCAGCCCAACATCAGCCGGCCTGAAGACAATCCGGGCTCAGTCGCCTTCCTTCCCTATGTCGGGACCATATTCAATCGTATCAGCAGAGTGCTGTCCCGATACAACATTAAAGCAGTGGGTCTGCCTCCATACAAATTATCCAATTTCCTCCGGCCAGTTAAAGACAGCCTGGGCCTAAGGACACCGGGTGTATACAGTATCCCATGCGAGTGCGGGAAGGTCTATATTGGGCAGACAGGTCGCTCCGTGGACATGAGGTTGAAGGAGCATCAGCGGCACATCCGTCTCGAACAACCGGACAAGTCGGCCGTAGCTGAACACAGCATCGATCTGGGACACCACATTCAGCTTCAGAATACCTCCATCCTCGCCACCAAGACCCGCTATATGGATCGCATCATTAGGGAGGCAATTGAGATTGAACTGCATCCAGGAAATATGAACAGAGAGGGGGGGTTTTGTCTCAGCAAGTCTTGGAAACCTCTCATCTGTTCTCTTAGAAAACCCCCACCAGGATATGATACCAGATCCAGAAGGCCACACAGGCCATGACCAACCAACATAACAACCACCCCCACCCCCCTCAGCTTACGGATTAGTGCCCAGCTTTAACCTTGCCTTTCTCTCCCCTATACAAAAACACGCTTGTTCCAGCTCCCTTCCCCTACCCCTCCCACACTACTGCTTTCACTTGTATACTTGCCCTTCCCCCCTTCCCTCTCTACTCTCACATAGCTGTGTACATTTCCACACAGTCTGCTTTTACCGGTTCTCACGGTCTCTTCGCTTTGCAGATTTCTTATATTTTTTCTTCTACCCTGAAGATGGAGGCGATACGTTCCTCCGAAACGTCGGTTAACACCACATATACACGGTGCCAAATACCAGAAGACTGCTTTCTTCATAGTCACCGCCGTGAAAGCCTCAAATCTTACAAGAGTCATGTTGTTACTGAGTATAAGATCTGAAGAAGCACTCTCTCTGGATAGTCTCTAATAGCATAATGTCTATACCAAATTTAATGGGGGAAGCACTCATACCCATACACTATTACTGTCACATTAGTTTATTTAGTTTCACTGAGGAAGGATACTTGATCTATTGCAGTTACATTGTATCTACTACTGAAAGAAAGCTTAGATTTCTGTGTTCTGTATACACCTAGAGGTTAAAAGATGTACTCTTACATGCTACTTTCACAGTGGGCTTGGATGAATTCAGGACAGAATTATTTGTCCTAAAACCTATGTTCATTCAAGACAGAATTGGACTGTGCTAAACCTAACAACCAACTCTAGCTTACTCATCATTCTTGGAAAACATTTAACATTTTGCTATAGACAAATAATGTCTGTTCATGCCTGTGGAGTGGCTGATGACTGTACTGCTCCCATACAATATTCTACTGCTATTCCCCAGTTCTGCTATTTATACAAACCATTGGTATTGAGGTAGATTTGGATCCACGTGACATGGTGGTTTTCACTTTGATTCCAGCTTTCTGGTCCAATTTGAGATGTTCATACAAGATCTGACTCAGCTGAGGCACTGAATTCATGTGAAAGTGCTTCCCAGCTGCTCTATATGCTGCATCCTTCAGTCTATTCATTTGATTCTAAAACCAAGACAGAATGCACAACTTTTCAGTCTGTTACTGTGGCAGTGTAGTCCTGGTTCAAGCCCCAGACATACTACTCTGAGATAATGTACTAACTCGAGTTGGTCCTGTTACTTCTTTACCCTGTGAGTTGGAAAAAGCTGAAGTTAAAACCAATAATGACAAGTAAACTGCAGAGTCAGTGCCATTTGTCACTAAAAGCAGGATTCATACCAAAGCAGCCATTAACACAACAAGCAACTAGCAATTCCTGTTTTTAGGAATGGAATTTATTTTAATGACATCAATTCTCATTGGAAAGACCACAATACAGGTATCACAATTATAAATATCCAGAAGAATTATACAATGCAGGTAATAAATAACCTCTTTTCTCTGTTAGGACAAAATTGATGATATCATGTGATAATAGAGAATACAGACAAGGTTTGGACTAGTAACTGGATTTACTGAACTCTTAAACAATTTGTGACTATGCTTTACGAAATACGAGGGGAAGTCAATAATTATCCGCAATGCAGTTGTATTTGTGTTTCTGTTGGCAGCACTGTCATTTTGCGCAGCATTGCCATGCGTGGTTTCCTTGTCATTATTTCTGCGAAGGTTTGATGTTGCTAGGTCAGTTCCATCGTCGCTGCCGTGCCGTTAATCATGGCTGCTCCGTTTTCTGTTTGCACCAAAGAAGAGCAACGTTCAGTGATCCGGTTTTTGTGGTCGGAAGGTGTATCAGGGGCCGCAATCCATCAGAGACTTTCAGCACAATACAGGAACAGTGTTTTGCCGCAAAGGAGTGTCTACGAATGGATTGAAAAATTAAAAAATGGTCGCACAAGTGTTACGCATGAGGAAGGAGCCAGACGACCATCCACGGCCACAAATGAGGACAACATTGAGCGTGCACGTGACATGGTTCTGTTAGACAGACGAGTGACTATTGATGAAGTGGCAAATCGTCTGCAAATTAGTCATGGTTCTGCCTACGAAATCATCCACAACAGACTTCGGTTTCATAAAGTCTCTGCAAGATGGGTCCCAAAACAACTCACAGTGTTGCATAAACAAACGTGCTTGGACATCTGCCAACATTTGGATCGCTATGGTAACGAACGTGACGTCTTCTTAGACAGAATAATCATTGGTAATGAAACATGGATCCATCATTGCAAGCCGGAGAGTAAACGGCAGAGTATGGAATGGAAACATCCACAATTGCCCAGCAAGAAAAAGTTCAAAAGCCAATCATCCGCAGGAATACTGATGCTTACAGTTTTTTGGGACTCGCAAGGCCCAGTACTGCAACATTATCAGGAGAGGGGCACAACAATAAACAGTGCTCGTTACAGTGAGATGCTTACTGACAGGCTAAAGCCTGCAATTCGAAGCAAACGCTGAGGACTACTGTCAAAAGGTGTTGTGTTGTTGCACGACAATGCCCGTCCACATATTGCTGCCCACACTGCTGAAACCCTCCAGAAACTCAAGTTTGATGTAATGGCTCATCCTCTGTAGTGTCCTGATCTCGCCCCTTCTGACTACCACTTGTTTGGTCCACTCAAAGAGGCATTAAGGGGCCGTTGATTCACCTCGGACCAAGAAGTGAAGGAAGCGGTGCATGCGTGGCTTGCTGCTCAGCCAAAAACCTTTTCTGAGGGCATCAGGAAACTTGTGCAATGATGGACCAAGTGTGTTGAAAAGCAAGGGGACTATGTTGAAAAATGATGTTAATGTAAGTTTTCTATTTGTATTGAAATAAAATTTATAGCTACATTGCGGATAATTATTGACTTACCTACATACTATCATACACAGACTTGTGTTCTCTGTCACGGTCTTCATTACTTTGCTTGGTAGCAGCTTCCAAAGGTGTAACATCCTCAGTATCCACGTCCAACGGCTCCTGTCCTCACTGGCTGGCACCTTTCAGCTGCAGCTCCTGAGCTGAACTAACTGGCTTCTAACTGCCAAACTAATTCACAAGTCAAAGTCAAAGTCAAAGATATTGTCACATGTTGGGTATGCTACGTGACAAATAACTTCACGTAGGTCTCAGATTTAGTGGATATGGAACATTCACTCTTACACACTCAAGTACAATTAATAACACTTCAACTGCATTCTGCTGTGGCTATATTCCAACTGTATCTGACTGTGGCTGGATCTCAACTGTTTTGGCAAATGCCTTCAACCAATTATATAGGGGTTTTTCGAACCGCTTAGAGGACACCATCTTCAACCATCCTGTTTCACGTGTCCTATGCTGGTTACCACAGAAGTGCATTATTCCCACTGGTTCAACAACCTGTTGCTTAGGAAATGCATTATTTTCTGTTGTTTCATAGCACTTCTAACAGTTTGTTGTAACCTTGGAGACTCACTCTTAGAATTACCATGGAAGTAACTCTTCCAGATTCCAAACATGTGACAATATGTTACGACACACAGTCAGTTAGCCAGTCTATCTTGGAACACAGGATTAGATTTTTGTTACTGTCAGACAGTTTCTGGTTTGTTGATGTGGGGTATCCTCTCTGATGTGAGGACAGGTCTGTCATTTATGACTGTTGTTGGTCCTCGCCAGTGCATTCATTCTCTGCTCTGAGTTCCACAGAACTCATGACTGTATTTTACTGTCTCAGATTCGACTCATTCCCAACCTGGAGGGCCAGGTCTCTATATTTATATGCTTCACAAACAGGGTGGCCCAGTTATACCCCCAGGCGTTGGACTCCCTTTTTTGTCACCTCCTCACAACTTGCAGGGCTACAGTGGAGGTATTCCAACCTGCCTCCATGTAGGGATCTGTGTCTCAAAAGTAAAAGTCACAGTTATGTTAAGACTGACAGTAAGTCAGCCAGTATGGCTTGGTGTCAAGATCAGATTTTTATTACACTAACTGACAACAAACAATTGACTTCATATGTAGCCTTGGCATGGACCATACAGAAAACACCTCTCCCAACAGTTCTTCTATTGCTGCATCACATACCTATCGGCACAGACCACGCAGAAAACACTGATTCCAAGTTACTTTATTGTGGCATGTTATGAAGCTGTTGCTAGCAATAGGCATGTTTGCAGAGCCATTCCCCAGCAATGGCTGTCTCTGCTGGCTTTACAGTGCTTGCCTTGAGCAAATATGCCGCAATATGAAAAACAGCTTCTGCTATGAACTAGAATGTGTCTTCAATAAATTCCCTACATTCCATATGAAAGTGCTGTTAGATTTCAATGCCAAAGTAGGTATGGAAGACATTTTCAAACCAACTGGGAATGAGCATTTACTTGAAATTAGTTATGATAATGGAGCCATAATAGTAAACTTTGCCAAATCCAAAAATCTGATCATCTAAAGTACAACATTCTCACACCTTAACATTCATAAATTTACATTGACATATCCTGATGGAAAGATTTACAATCAAATTGATCATATTTTGATTGACAGAAGACAGCATTCAAATGTACTTTACGTCGGATCATTCAGGGGAGCAGATTGTGATACTGACCACTATCTGGTGGTAGCAGAAGTTAGGGAGAGACTGGAAGTGAACATACAAGCAATGTACAGATTTCATACGAAGAGGTTCAATCTCAAGAAATTAAATGAGGTAGGGGACAATGGGCAGTCTTACAATAAAATCTCAAATAGGTTCACAGTTGGAAAACTTTGATGCTGAGGTGGATGTTAAGAGAGCTTGGGAAACTGTTAAGAGAGAATATCAAAATTACAGCCAAAGAGAGTCTAGGTTATTATGAACTGAAGAAGCGTAAGCCATGGTTCGATGAAGGATGCTCAAAATTATCAGATAAAAGGAAACACGCCAAGTTGCATTGGTTATAGGATCCAAGCAAACTAAATGGGTATTCATTCATTCATTTATTTTGGAAGGCCAATTGGATTGGTCATATCTTATGCGGTAACTGCCTTCTAAAAGAAGTTATTGAAGGAAAGATAGAGGGGTGGATAGAAGTGACCAGAAGACATAAGATGATGCTGGATGACCTTGGGGACAGAAGAGGATATTTTCATTTGAAGGAGAAAGCTCTAGATCGCATGAAGTGGAGGAACTGTTTTGGAAGAGACTGTGGACCTGTCGTCTTGACAGATTATAGGTACAACCCAGGATATGGAAATAGTCCATTTTACAATGTTCATACAAAATTATGTAAGTCTCATGGATACAATCACCTACATCAATCAACTCATACAAATTATAATACCAAAAAAGAAAAAAAAATAATCAATTTACATGATTCAAAGATAACATTGATATAACAATTGAAGCATTTCAAGCCATTAGCATGCATAACTGAGAGTGTACTCTTTGTATGCTTTAACTGTACTACATTATTACATCTTATAAATATTATGTTTCATACTTTCTGTGTCTTAACACAATACATGTATTGAATTACTTCTCTCCATTGAATGAGAGATTTGACGGAACCCAAAATTGTTCTGGGAATCAGGGAGAAAAGTAAAATTCAATTCCCCTTATGGGAATTAAACCCTGGACATCCACTCCATAGCATCATCTATGCTGATTTTCTTTGTGTCATGCTTACATATCACTTAACAGTCATATTGGATGAGAAGAACTTTTATTATAATACAAAACAAAAACAAATGAATACACGAAGGGGGACCCAAAAATAACCGGAACCGACCTGTTGCGCGCGCATGCTTTGTAGTTACAAGTTGTGCTGCTAGGTGGTGTTAGCTGGGGGTCTCCCGCAACTGTTAGTGAGCTGGCGTCAGTCTGAGTTAAGTGGTTTGTCTGTGGTGCTCT